TCAATCATCAACTCATTTTACTGTGAACGGAGTTGTTCCGCAGCAGAGATTTGTGACCTCGGGTTTCGTCTGCGGTGCGGGAGAGTCCCTGTTGCTGCTGCAGGATGGTGCCCTCGGTAATCCTCCCTTTTCCAGGGGGATCTGGGTTACCTCTGCTGCGATGCGAACGGTGGCCGTGGCCGTCAGTCCTTGGTTCCGGCAGAGCTTCTGCCAGACAGACGGAACGCTCCAGTCCCAATCAGGTGCTGTTTTAAACCCGCTTCGTGCTGTAAGCCTGCTGAATCGGAGAGCTCAGCTTCCATGTCTGTAGATAGAGATATGTGCCCTGTGTGGTCTCCCGAGGGGAAGGCAAAATGTGGTTTTAGTTAAGTTGCATGGGAATTTAATTGAAAGATTTAGGGCAGTGCCGTAAAAGAGTAAATCACGGTTACGTGACACGAAGAAGATTGATAAAGCAAAATAAAAATACTTTAGCACCTTTACTTTTATAATTTGCTTGATATAAATGGAAACCTGTATTAGTCATTTTGTCTGCTGGTAATTAAAATAATAAATAAAAATAAAAAAAAAGTAAAGGCTTTTATATTTTACCGGTTTTCAGTCCTTTGGTGTAAAATAATGGGAAAGACGATAGCAAAGGTCAGAGCGTTCTCTGGACACATCGCGACTCTGAACCTGCGCACACGCTCAGCTTCCCTCCCGTGAATATTCGTATGAACTAAGCACACGCTTAACTTAATCCACGTAAGTAGTTCCTCAGAAGTCAGAAGGACTATTAAGTGATTCGGATTAAGCACAGGCTTAGTGTAAGACCCGAGCGTGTGGGGATGGTGGCCCTGAAATCTGGCCAGCATCCAAGGCAGCGGGGCTACTGCGGCTGTGATGGTCCTGCTCTATGGAAGAAGGTCATCTGTAACACGGAAAAAAGACTTGGGGTTTTTTCGGGGAGGGGAGCTAGGGCAGTCGCCTCCCAAATGTGACCTTCAGTGCAGGTTTTGTGAGGATTCGCACAACGTAGTTATCGAAGAGTACTGTATACATTATATGCTGTAGCGACGATAGGTCTAGATAAGAATACCATAATAGCAGTTGAAATGTAGGGGGGGGTTGTGAGATGGTACGTTAATGATGTGGCTGTTAATTTGAATTTAGCAGCCGTTTTAAATATAGGTTTCTCTTACAGAGACAAAAGTTGCAATTTAAAGCTCTTTGGTGGTCTAAAAACAGCTTAATTCTCTAGTAGCATGGTAATAAGTACTAATCCAGCTTATACAGTGATTGTAGTATGTCATGTTTGTGAAAGATTGCCTAACTCTGCTTTCTCTGGGTTTTATGTTAATTTTTTTAAATTAAACATAAAACCTTATAACATCTTTATGCTGAGATAAACTGTTCAATTTAACTTGTGCTCAAGCAGCAGCTGTCAGGAATTATCATGTTTCGAGCGTTCTTGCCATCACCTTGTGTCTCTACCTCCCGGATACACTCCGTGGGATGATAAAGCTCACCTTGTTAGGATTTATTACTTAAATAATATCCCGAGGTAAAATGGAAGTTGATGTCATACGGAATGACAACTGACATATATTTATGTCACACGTTACGTTAGAATAAACTTTCCTTTCTTCCCCTCGTAATAGGTGTTAAGTGGGAATAGGCTCCAGCATCTCCTCCGGTGCCCTGCGTGGGTCCATCAGCACCGTGCGCGGCTGCTCGGTGGGCATGTTCGCGGGGACTCAGGCTGTCAGGTGTTATTTAGGCTTATAATGCCGGAGAAATTCGTTATCGCTGGTGGTTGGCGGCTTTTATGCCGGTAAAGAACCACGTATAAGAGCATCTTGTTTGTTGGGTTGAATTCTGGCAATGCTGTGAAATAATGCATGTGAATCCAAAAGGGTGTTTTCTAATAATATTACCACTTAAATGGGTTTTGGTTTATTATTTTTTTTTTTTTTTGTCTGTGAGAAATGTAAGGAGTGTCATTACAGGCTCTAAATCTGAATTTGCTAGTAATCGCAAAAGTTTTCTCTCGACACTGGCGGTGAGAAGCGATGTGCTTGTTAATTGAGTCTTATCCCTTCCCATTTACAGTGCAGAAAATTTGGGTCTACCTCTTGCAAGTTTTCCAAGTTTTCGGCTTTTCTTGCCTTTCCAGAAGCCGGTCTCCAGCTCTCTCTGATGGTGCTCTTGAATGCCCCGTTGTCTTCCCTTCCCACCCTTGCTTCCATGCCTTACCGCATCCCGTGTGTTCAATCCCAGTGTGCCATCTCTTTTTTTTTTTCCCCTCTCTTTGTTCAGATGCGGCCAAGTTCATAGACACCATCCTGCATCAATTCGGTTTTCTTCCTAACTCGTCGCAGGAAGGGGTTGTCTGAAAAGTCAGTAAAGGGAAGGATAAACTATAACGCAACCAAGAAATAGCCAAAATTTTGCCAAGGAACCATTTCATCTCATTTTTTTTGTAACATTTGGGGTATGTTTTCTCCTGTGTGTATTTTTCTTTGTCATAGAATCATAGAATTGTTGAGGTTGGAAGGGACCTTTAAGATCATCAAGTCCAACCATTAACCTAACCTGACAAAACCACCTCTAAACCATGTCTCTGAGTACCACATCTGCCCTTTTTTAAAACACCTCCAGGGATGGTGAATCTGCCACCTCCCTGGGCAGCCTCTTCCAATGTCTAATAACCCTTTCAGTGAAAAAGAAATTCCTAATATCCAATCTAAACCTCGCCTGGCATAACTTGAACCCGTTTCCTCTCATCCTGTCACTTGTCACCAGTGAGAAGAGGTCAACCCCCACCTCTCTACATCCTCCTTTCAGGTCGTTGTAGAGGGTGATAAGGTCTCCCCTCAGCCTCTTTTTCTCCAGGCTGAGCACCTCCAGTTCCCTCAGTCGTTCCTCATAAGACTTGTGCTCCAGACCCCTCACCAGCTTCATGGCCCTTCTGTGGACCCTCTCCAGCATCTCAATGTCCCTCCTGTAGCAAGGGGCCCAAAACTGAACACAGCACTCGAGGTGGGGCCTCACCAGTGCCGAGTACAGGGGGATGATCACTTCCCCAGTCCTGCTGGCCACACTATTGCTGATACAGGCCAGGATGCTATTGGCCTTCTTGGCCACCTGGGCACAGTGCCGGCTCATATTCAGCTGGTCGCCCACCAACACCCCCAGGTCCTTTTCTGCTGGGCAGCTTTTTTTTTTGTTGTTGTTGTTGTTTTTTGTCACTCTGGTGCTAAACCTGCTGCTGTCTCCGCGCTGGGGGATTGCATCGCCCTTAGGAAGTTTTCCTGCCTCCGCTTTGACTCTGGCGCCCAGGTCGTTATGAGGTCCAGAGGTTATTACTCTTTGTGACAAATAAGTGATGACTTTTCGTAAAACTGTTTTTTTTTTTTTCCTCTTGGTATGGCTCATAATAAACCCGAGCTCGTATCTTAATTGGCATTCTGTTTGACAGTCCCTTTAGAACGATCAAATATTTGATGAACAAGGCAATAACATTCATCTCTTCCTTGGGTAAGCCTTTCAGATTAGCATTGACTCAAGTTGATGAAGATGGATACAGGATCTGTTCTCTGGGAAGTGTTTGTTCTGTAGGTACAGCTTATCTAAGAACGGTGTGTGTTAGCATAGGTGGTATTATGCTATATATGGCCATATATAGCATAATACGGCTATTTGGGGAAGTTCGTATGAGTTTTAGGGTTGATAGGCAGGATCAGAATTTTTTAATATTAGTGATGTCAGTGTGGCAGTGATCTTGAACGCAAAATCTGTATAAAAATAGGAATAGGAATGAAACGGGGTGAAGAATAGGAATGAAACGAGGTGAAGAATAGGAATGAAATAGGATGAAGAATAGGAAAAAAAAACAGAAAAAAGAATTAAACATTGCATAAATCAGTTCTGAACCTGAACCACTAAAATGGTGGATAGCAAAAAAAAAACCAAAAAACAAAACCAAAAGAATTAGAAACATCTTACATTGAAAAGTAGTTTATTAAAGCTTAATGTTTTATGTGCAAAAACCACTGGGTCTCAATTTTATTTTATTTCTTCTTCATCCCTTATGATGAGAAGCATCTACAGCTCTGCAGTTCTCTGTAGGTTCGGGGTTCATTTTGCTTGAGAGCAGCGCTGGCCGCGGAAGCGGAGAGGCTCACGTACTTTTGGTGAAATGCAGGGAAATCTGCCGCTGGTTACCGTAGGGTCAGGATTGCGTATTACACGTTTAAATACGTTCATTTTCTGATCGCCTGGTAAGTTGTACGAGGCTCAGGTAGCAGCTTGTTAGTGGTGTTTGTGCCCGCTTTATATAATTGAAGGAGGCGTGCAGCGTTGTAGGCTGCGGAGTAGCGGGAGTGCGATGGCAGTGCTGGGGTGCAAGGGTAGAAACAACATTTCCTTATAGAGGACACCTAATAAAAATGTGAAAATAAAACAGAAAAAGGGTGGGAAGAAAAAAAAAAAAAAAAGAAAAGCAGACCATACTAGATAAGTACACTGCATAAATCAAAAGGGTTTATGTCATAACATGAACATGTGCCATT